TCTTGGATTTTTCATTTTTTTAAGAAATAATAATTGATCAGAAAATGGAAGAAAGTGAAAGTTGAAATAAGATAGAATTTTTAAGGGGAAAAGAAAACCAATATATTGTCTCATGTAAGCAGTAACCTGCAAAGGCTATTTATTCATCAAAAGGAGCATATTCTTTAATCAAATGTCTGTCCCAACAATGTTGGAGCAGTTAGGCTTCCAAATATTTAAGTCTCATCAATCCCTGTTAATATGTATTATCAACAGGACCCTACAAAATGTGTAACAATTTGTTCTTGCAAACATAAAATTGATTCAAGATAGCCAATAACAAGGTTATAGAAATCCTATTTTGCTGGAATATTATCAGATGAAAAAGGTGCACAACATTGCAACTTACAAGCAGTTCATTCATATCGCTAGATGCCTGAATCCTAGCCTTTTCCTCCAGAGAACGTCCCAATAGCACAAAACCAAGAAGCATGACCTGCATGCTAAAAGATTCAATACTTACATGAGGAGCTTATACTCAACATGAATGTAAGAAGTCTCAATAAGACGATAAATAACATATTAATTCTACATATTGAGAAATCAACGTGTCTTTAAAAGTACAAGTTCTTGTATTGAGAAGGTGTTTGAGGATGTGAAACAAAGATCTTGGGACTGGCTAATAAGAGCAAAAGCTACAAGAGCCAATTTCTTGTTCTATTAGTGGAATAAACAACCTGTCTTAGGCTTGGATAGTTCTAACTTTTTCAGCCTATATAGTTTTGATGTTGCATTTTTGGGTTTTAGGAAGAGATCTTTATGGATCTAAACATTTTGTTTTGTTTCTGCTGCTACTAGGAATCACATCTTGTGATGTTCTCATTAGTAGTCTCATATTAATAAATTGCTCTTTGCCTTTTCCAAAAAAAAAATACATTAATTCTACATTTAATACATATGTAGAATCCTGAACTGTTTTGAGAAATATTAATTAGGCCCCTTAAAAAATTATAATTGAGCCCTGAATCTTCTATAATTTTAGTAATTGGGTCCCTGAAATTAGTAAAACTGCAACAATTTGTTATTTTTATGGCAGTTTTAAATTGCTATAAATTAACTCCAGGAAATAATAACAAAAAGTGTAAACAAACAAGGACCCAATGACAATTTTTTTAGTTTAGGGACGTAATTAAAATTTTGCAAAAAGTTTAGGGACATGATGTATTAAACCTTAAATCTAAACAGACAAGAACCCAAGCCAAGATGAGTAGTAGTATGTTCTAGCTTGGCTTGAGGTGACAAATTCTCAAATGACAAATATCAGGACCAATGAAAGTAAAGAAAGTCACCGGTTCATCAAAGAATGATGCATCCCATGCCAGGCCGGGGTTAAGTAGTGAGATCTACAGCAAAGACAAGTTCGAATTAACATCACACTAAACGAAAACAGAGTTTATCTGTAACATAATGGAACACTCAAATCCCAGATAGAATCTCACCGAACTAATGACGAAAGCAGCTATAGAACCAAATCCCACCAGAGAGTTCATATTAGGCGACCCCTTCTTAAATGCGTTTAGGCCATCAAAGAGTAGCTCTGCGACATTTTTATGAATCTAACACGGTAAGAAAATTGTAAAACTACGAATGCATAATTCTCTTAAATCCTTCAACTCTTCAAGACATGGTTCTCCAAAAGAAGTTGTTGTGTACATCAATAAGGGAAACGAGAGAGGAACTAACCTCGTCCTGGTCCCAATAGAGCACCCAAAGCTAAACCACCTTTCACGTACGAACTATGAAGAATTTCCATAAGCGGTCCTATAAATAGAAAACCGAGTTAGGTTTGACTGCTTGAAAGTTTTACAAATTGCGCTTCTAGCTTGGTTTACTTGCGTTTAAGCGAATTTGCAGCTGAATAGAGAATAACGAACTTTGCATGTTCGATTCAAGCATTACCGTGAACAATGTGAATCCCCAAGGAGTGGAAAATATGCGAAGCGTGAGATCCACAGCACAATGCGACCAGCGTCCAAGCGAAAGCGACGCGGTTTCGACTCTTAGCGACCAATTCCTCTTTCTTCTTCACTAACTCCTTCCACTTCCTCACGTTTTCCGTCACTCCCGAACTCGACGCTCTCATCTTCGTCGGAAATCCGCAATCACTCAGCCTCCGAGCAAGGCTCTCCGCGACGCTCGCCGGCTCCTCGTCTGTCCGTCGAAGCTTGACGGCGGCGGTCTCGGTCAACATGTTGACCACGGCCGAGTCGACTCGGTTATCGGCGGACAAGATGTTTTTGACTCGGGAGACGCACGCGCCGCACATCATTCCGGTGACGTCGAGTAGAACCGGCGAGTCTCTTCTCTCTCCGCGGCCTTGGAGAAGAGCTGATTCTGGCGAGCCAATCTCGGCCCCGAAGGAGTTTGATACGGCGAAAAGTGGGCGGGAATTTGGAGGGAGATGGCGGTAGCGGCTGCGACGTCGTTTTGGCGGGAGTGGAGAAATGAAGTGGAGGACATGATTGGGCGTGTAATTGAAGCAGAGTTTGGGTTGGGAGGAGAGAGAAAGCCTGAGAAGATGAGTAGCCATGATCAAAGACACGAGGAGATGTGAACCACGAATTTTTCATGTTACCTGCTATTGCTAATTTCTCAACACGGTAGAGGCGTTCGTTGAATATTTCAAACGCCTCCAATCAAAATACGACACGTGTCTCCTACTGCAACCAACTGGCGGCTGCCCAGGAAAATGTACACCTTCCATTATTACCTCTCTCTCGCCTCTATTTTGGCATAGAACACCATCTACAGTTGCAATATTTTATAGAACATTGCTACGGCGTGCGAAACAAAGGCCCAAATTTCGTCAGAATTTTTTATAAATTATTATTTTTTAAAATTTTATTATAAAATAATTATTTTTTAATATATTTATTATAAAATAATTATTTTTTAAAAATTCGGACGAAATTTCGGTCTTCATTTGATAGGATACAACATTTTCCTATTTTATAAACTTAAGGTAAATGATAGATAATGTTTGGATTGACTTCTAGTATACACAATTACATCTAGTACTATCCGCGTGTTTTTCATTTTCAAACCTAATTTTATTTTCTCTCACGTTCAAATATCAATTCATGTAGAAGCTATTATTTTCTTTTTAATTAAACGTGATTTTTCATGTGATTTCAATTCAAACACGTTCTAAGAAATAAATACTGAAAAATACGATGGAGAAAAATATAAGAAGTATAAGTAACTTAAAAATAGATAAAGAAAAATAAAAATAAAAATATTTAATTTGAAAAAAATAAGTAAGAAATAAAAAATAGATAATATTATAAAACTATGTTAATTGGAATATATGAAAAGAAAAAAATATAATTGAACAAAAAATCTAATTTTACATTTTAATATTATATATATATATATATATATATATTTATTCAAATACAATCAAATAAAGATAATTATGTTATTTGAATATAACAAAATAAATATATCACTTGAATGATTATTTATTTGAATAAACAACCATTCTAATAAAATGGAACCAATTTGAATAAAACATGAAGGATGCAACTATTTGACTCATTTGAATAAAATAAATAATATTTGAATAAAATGAATTACAATCAAATAAAATAACTAGTTCATCCCTTATTCAAATACAATGTGACCCAAGATTTCTTTCATGGTCTTATGCGAGAGTTTTCAAGAGATAAGAGTGTAAAAAAAATAAAAAAATAAAAAGAATTCACCTTTCTCTTTGCCATTTCCACTTGATTTTAAGAAAAAATTTACAGATATGAAATCTACATCTATAAATTTTTTGTTTGATTGAACTCATTAAATAAATGACTAAAAATATTTCAGTTGAAATATTTTCTCTTTTTCTTTCTTAATACTATCATGTTTGAAAAAAAATTTGATCAAATTTGTATTCAATAAATGATTAAATATATTTCAATTGAAATATTTCCTCTTTTTCTCTGCATTATTTTGATCAAAACAAACATAATATTAAATAAAATCATATTAATCAATTCTATAGAGTCATAAATGATGGTTCACATCCTAAACTTGATTCTAAACACACTTAATAGAATCAAACACCATCATCTTAAATTCAAGTCTTATATAAAAATTAATAATAAACTATCCATTTGATTAAGGGAAAATAAAGTAGGAAGAGGAGAACTAAGCTTATTAGTAACAATAGTTGTAAGGCTTACTTTGGATCTCAATGATTAATTAAGTGTCACATATTCAATTTTTATTTATGTTAAAATAATATTTGATCAGTGTAAGTTATGTCCTATAAATTTATATTAATTTTTGATCATCAACTTTATAATATTGCGTGAATCATATTTATAGAAAAAAAAGACAATAGGAGAGAAAAAATTTGAAATTTGAATGAAAGAAAAATATATGGAAGGAAAATTTTATCTTTATAAAATTCATTTTTTCTTTCTATTTTTTCTTCAACTAAATAAAAGAAAATACATCGTCATCTATAATTTTTCTCTTTTCTATTTTTTTAACCCCCGACCAAACATATCATAAAAATAAGAGATGTTACTTATTGGTCCACGAACTCCTATTGGTCCACTAAGAGATGTTACTTAAAAACGACCTCATAAAAGAAATGATTTTTTTTTTTTTCTAGCGAAGGATTCTTGAAGAGAATACACTTCCAAATTTAATTTCTTTGATTTGTTCATTTCATTTATCCTTATTTTTCACTTCTCCATATAACATGTCGCTCTAATTGTAGGAAGGGACATTGCAATAATACATATTGAATAATCTTGCAATCTCAAGCCACACGATTGTTGTGATTAAGCCTAATTGCCTTCTCACAAGAAGATCTTGGTTTATTATATATATTTTTAGGTAGTTTGTATAAGTTGGTTTAGCTTCTTAGATCAACTTCAGTTTCTAAGAAATTAATAAAAAGAAGAACACGAAATCATTTAATGGCCACAATTACATGTGAATTATTAGAAGTATTTTATTAGAGAGAGAAGGGGAAGATAAGGGGGTGAGAGAGAAGTGGATATTTATGTTTTTCGTGAATCCTTATAGGTAGCGTTATCCTCTCAGGACAACAGAAAGAAAGAGCGTGTCAGAAATGGGTGTGAACAGTAACACTAATGAGAGCTCAACCGAGAAGGTTTCAAAATGTTGGGGAAATGCTCAAATGCCCTTTGCACTTCCATTTCTGACACCCCCCAACTTGAGCTTCACCACACCTCACCAACTCCACACCACCATCGCCACTGCTGCAGACAATTTATTCACATTTGTAGCCTCCCTCGCTTCTCAAAACCCTCTCCTCTCTCTCCCCTCCCAATTTCACGCCCTATGCCTCCAGGTTCTTTCGCTTTCTTCATGCTTATATTTATAATCAATCAGCCGCGAGCCTTGTGCTAATTGCTGAGTATTATTCATGTTCAGATTCGGAAGCACAGAAACGTGACGTCGCTGTCTAGTCATAATTTCGCTGCCGTTTTACCCGGGGATTCGGTGGCGGGGGTGGTGGTGGCTAATGGGGTTCAGAATTTCTTGCAAATTTACAACACCTTGCTCATCGTTAGGCTCGTTTTGACGTGGTTTCCCAACACTCCTCCTTCCATCGTTAGTCCCTTCAGGTCAGTAACCTTTTTTAATCCATTCTTCCCAAGATACGTATTTTCTGCACTTAAATGTTTCATTCTGTTACGCATCGTATATTGTTTTCTTTTGACATCATACATTATTCCTGCTAGCTACTAAATTTTGATCTTTATACATGATGATAATAAGGAATTAAGGATTGAATTGAGAACATTTTTTTGTATAGAGGCCTAGGCTCACTCATGATTTCCTATTTTGTTTCTGGGGGTTATTGGACATTTCACAGCAACATGTTTAACGAATGAATAAAAATGATTATTGTTTGATTCAGCACCATATGTGATCCATATCTGAACATATTCCGAGGAATTATTCCCCCTCTGGGAGGAACGTTGGATCTCTCTCCCATCCTAGCATTCTTGGTCCTAAATGCATTCACTAGCAGTGCTGCTGCACTCTCTGCTGAGCTTCCACCCACAGAACAATTCCAACAACCTCTTTCAGCACCGTTACACTCTACTACTTCGCAGATGAAATGGATGAGACGCCTTCTAGGGAACAGGTCTAAGATATCCGGTGATGCTAAATAGAACATGCTAAACTTTATGTGTGCTGTGTGCACCTTTGTCTGTTTATTAATTAGGTTGCTGTTGTTCCATCCCAATTATTATAGTTCCAGGCAACACAGTTTTAGAGCTTGTGATTCCAGAAATTCTAGAGTTATCAAGTTTGCTGTGGAATGCTCAAGCTGAAGGCTGAAGCTACCACACTCACAATTTGTTTTTTGCAGTACACACATCCCATTGTTTTCTTTTAATCCTAAGGTCCTTAAAACATGGGACTGGATTATAGTCCATCAATTAGATTACCGAGTGATCATACTATGTAATTTTTGGTCTCTATTTAAAAAAAAAAAAAAAAAAAAGTCTAACTACATCACATATGAGAACTTCTGCATATTTTTAGTTAAAAAAATAGGACCTTGAGGACTGAAATTATGAAAAGGTTATAGTAGTATTTTATTGAGATCGGATTTGAATATCGAATGGCATGATCCCAATTCATTGCCTCTTGTCTCCACTGACTTTATGCCGCATCCAGATAGCACTTTTAGTTTTCACAAATATTAAGGAAATGCTTATTATGTCGAAAATAAACTAACCTCTACGAGGATCTTTGCTGAAATGGGAATCGAATTCTCAGCAGTTTCTAAATAAACTGCTGGCTATGCACTACTAGTTATAAAACTGACTATTAAAGGGATTGAATTTAATTTTAAAGGATAAATTTATCATTTTATAAAATTTAAAGGATGAGATTAACTGATTAACGGAATTCTTTTAGTCAGTGTACACAATGTTCTTTTGCTGAAATGACCCTGGGTCCTATTTGTTTTATAGTAAGAATCAGGTCCTTCTGTGATATATACGTTCTAATATAAAATCTATGAATCATATTAGACATGTATCTAATGATGTTTAATGGCGCTGTCAAAATAAAATGTCTAATGGTTCAAAATCAATTTTGTCCGACTTCAAAATTATTGGAAAAAATCAAAGTTTCTGGCCATCCTAAATCATTAAAATGAGTCATCTACCATTTTATCTATGTATCGAAGTTCAATGGTGTAATATGGGAAATGGTGTATTAAAAAAAATCAAATCATTATGATTAAAGATAAGATAACTAAAAAGTATATAAAAGAAGTAACTTTCATGTTGATTTTGTTGAATTATGTTTCAAACTCACATTCTTATAAATAAATAAAAAACTCTGTTAAAACTCTACTTATTTAGTTTTTTTTTTATTCCTTCTGTCAAATTATAAATCCTCACATGCAAACAATTGAGTTTTTACACCTTTTATATTTTTTAACAACATTTGTTAATTTATAAACCCTCACACCATTTATATCTTCTTTTGCATTTTTTTTGGGTACATTCTTTTACATTTCATTACACTTTTACTTTCACTCCTATTACTTATCACATCTTCCTCTTGGATGAAATATATATACTTAAAAGAGTTGTTAATTTATTTTTTTTTCAAGTGTAAATTGCAAAGTTCTTTAAGTAAAACGAAGGATGAAGTTAGAAATCTACAAGTGACCAAATGAAGGATAAAGGATCCAAGTCTATTTTCACTTCTATTTAATTCTTTATTGGCGTCATCATTTTCTTATTCACTATTTTCTTTGTTGATAAATGAAGAATAAAGGATTCAAGTCTAACTTTTTAAAGTAAAAATTACGATTAAGTAAATTTTTTTTTCAGAATTAGCAACTTAAGGACATTAGATTAAATTTAAAATGAAATATAATCATGTCACATCTAATTAAAAAAGAGAAACATAAAGGAAAAAATATGTGATAAGTGATATAATAATAAAAAAAAAACAAAATGGGGTATGGGAAAATGTAAAAAAAAAAAAACAATAATAATAATAAAAATATAGACAAAATTAGAACTAAAATTAAAATATTGTTATTTTTTTTTAAATCAAATACTCACCTTGAGAATTGCATATAGGATAAAGGTTCATAAAAAAATGTAAAGCAATGTAGAATCACATCAATACTTTTCTTACTAAATTCACAGTCAAAATCCACCGACTTTTTCTCTGGAACTTTTATCTAGCTCGATCCTTTCTTCATCCAAACTAAATATTTCTTTGCCCCAAGGATTCTTTCATCTCAACATGAATTGGTTCGAATTTGTGACGTATTGTTCTTGAAGCTTCTGCATTTCTTTACCATTTATCTTGCACAGTCATCCACAGTAGAAACGGCATCAGATTCCAAATAAAATTTAGGCAGAGCAACGAATATTGAACTTTGTTAATGGAGAATCCTATTCGTATCTATATAAAATGTAATAACAAGCGGAGCTTTATCAGCTAACATTAACATACGATTTTTCTACGCCAGCACTTTTTTATCTTGATCATCCTTTTTTTGCATAGAAAAAATGTAGCATTTTTTCCAACAGTATCCAAGACAATAACATTAAATTTATAAAACAATTAACCCATGACAATATTCATGTCAACTATGAGGCTCGAATTCTTTCTAAAAATGTCATCATTTATCTTTACTTTTTCTTCCCCAAATTAACACTATACTAGTATTTGCATGAGCCAACCATGGTTAGTCACGTTCATAAGGATACTTTGGGTGAGTGTAGGTGAAGCTTTTAAATGTTAATGTTAACATTGAGATATGGGTGGTGTTTCCCCTACTCTAGTTAGTCCCATCCCATAGAAAGAGCAAGAGAGAAAATCTAGTGAATGGAAGTTGGAGGTTGCAGAAGAAGAAGCAGATTTTCATCATATGAGAGATTGGCTGCTATAGGGTTGTTGATTCTAGCTGTGGCATCTCCTCTCTACATAGACAGGAAAGCCGAGTGTGAGTTGGAAGATGAGGAGCAACCCATCATCGTTGATCTTTGGTTGCCTTTTCTTCTCTTTCTATTGATTTTCAGCATTGCTATGTCAGCTTTCCTGGACAAGAGCTTTGCCGGCTTTGACCGTTACTGGATTCATAGAGTTATTGGTTCTTCTGCCGGTATTCTTGCCATTCTTACTCTTCTTTTTCTTATCTTGAAATTTAAATCCTCTCTCTGATGATTCGATTTGGAGGGCATGAGATGCTCAAGTTGTATTGTAACATGTTCAAAAATATGTTCAGAATTTCTCTTGCAATGCTCTTGTGCAGGACTACTCAATACCCCTTGTAGGTAATGATTCAACTTTTTTATTCTCTCTATCTTTCTTTTCCTATCAAATCATATTAGCTATTATACTTGCACTTGATTTCTGTCTTTGTCATGCTCTTTATCCCTCGTTTTATGATCCTAATATGAGAGAATAAAAGGTCATCTCAAATTTTCGTAGACTTTGGCTAAATATAAAGGTGATTATTAAGGCTTATTTGGTTGATTAGCTAAAAAAATACTTGATAATTCAAAAGTCAATGAACGCATAAAACTAAATCAGGTAACTTAACTGATAGAATTGCTTAAAAGTTACTTTTTAAGTTAACTCAAAAGTCAGTGAAGCATAAAATTGAAAGCAGGCAAGTCACTGAAAACATATTAAGACATTTTTGTTTGTGTTGTGCGCATACATATAAATTATCTAATTTGATAATTGGTACATATAAATAATGTTTGGATAACTTCTCCTTAAATTTGATAATATTGATTAATTATCTAATATATAAAATAATGTAAAAGGGCATATTTTTCTATGTGTATACGTAAAATAATTAAATATATACATATTATTTATTGAAAATAATGCTATTAATTAGGAAAAGAGAAAAAAAAATATTTCATGAAATTAATAAGGCAAATTTGGAAAAAAAAATATTATAGAACTCCCAACATATAAGTCATACACTAGTTCTACTTACTATAACTGTTCTTTCCTTATTTTGAAATGCAAATCGTCCGTGGTGGAGGTCATGTGATGCTCAGGTTGTGTTGTACTGTTGAAAAACATGTAAGAATCTATTTTTCCTTGCTTTTGTGCTAAGAATTTCCCATTCTTCTCCCATGTAAGATGTAAGAATATGATCTTAATTTGAGATCATTTCAAATTTTGATAGAATTTGGCCATATATAAAAAGGAGACATTGAGGCCGTTGTTTTAACCGTGATAATATTTATTGCATTTATCAATAACTAATCTCTATTTAATAATTTAGTTAATTTTTAATAATATTTATTAATAATTAATCTCTGCTTAATAATTTAGTTAGTTTTCAGAAATATCTCTTTTTTCAACCAACGTTTTTTTATTCCAAGTATTCAAATATGAGACCACTTTAATGCAATAACTTCTTTCCAACAAATTTCCTAACAAAGTACCACTAATAATTTATTTTTAATCAAATAATTAATTGAACAGTTTATAAATTACTCAATTATATTTTCAACACACTTTAAATAAAATAAAGTACTTGCAATTATTAAATCATCCAAGGGTTAACAGGTACACCAAATCCAAGGGTGACAAAACATGCCAAGTCATTCTCTAAATAATTCTATTTTAAGAAAAATTAAACAGTCTTGTATTATTCAAGTGAGGTGTAATCAGGAAGTATATGATAATGATAGAGAGAAAGAAACTACTAAAAATAAATACGTCAGAGAGAAACATCATATATTATTTTTCTTAAAAAATTATATGCAATAATCCCATTCAATCATTTTTCTTTTAAGGGTTAGGATAGATTCTCGAATATCCAAATCCCTATTAATGGACAGAAATCTTATTTCATGTAGCTAGCTTATTCTCTTTCTCTTTCTCTCTCTCTCATTAAAAAAAGGAAAGAGAGAAAACTTGTAGAATGTAGTCCCACACTAGAATTTGCAAGAGCCAATACAACAAAATTTATATGGAAAGTATAACAAAGTTGGGAAAACAATTAACATGAATCTCTTAACAAATTACAATGTCACACAAAGTGGGAAAAAAGAATAGCTGAGGCCAAGCCTTTCATATACAACAAAGACTACAAAGGCTCCAAATCAAGTGGAGATCATACAATTTATCTGTTTATGATCATAATAAGCAAGCCCCATTGCAATCAGAACCGAAGTGGCAAATAGCCATATTCCACTGAGTGGTGACCAATCACTAGCACCACTGCACTCATCATTTGCCCCACTAAAGCAACCAGGTTTTGTTATCTTAGCCACACCACTCTCAAAAGTAAAAGTTTTGTTAGGCTTACCACTGCTAAACAACACACACCAGAAATAAGGTGACCCTCCATCAGTACCTGTGACAGCAGCACCAAGCTGAGTGTGGTTCTTACTGTAGAGTATGTCTAAGCTCTTTTGGTTCCTTATGAGGATTTCAGAAAATGCCTGAGGTGCATGGACATAATCAGACTGGCACCCCAGGAAACGACCAGTTATAGGAGCAAGAGTTGTGGCCTCAACACCACAGTTTGGGGCAAAAACTTCAGCAAATTGAGATTCTGGAGGTTTCTTGCCATCAGGGCCACCCACAGCATCACAATCACCTTGGTATGCCTTGATGTATTGTAGAGCAATACATGCAAGCCCTGGGTTGTCGGTTAAAGTTGATACTTTGTGAGCAGTTCTGTTTTCGTTAATCGCAGCTACCAACTTGTCCGCAGGATTATTAGTAATTTTGACTGCAAAATTTTGTTCATTATGTCACAAATGGGAATTTAAAGAACACATAAATGGAGAAGATGGATTTAAAGTAATCAAATCATACTGCAAGGAAATGAATAGAACTATGAAGTCAGGATGCAGAATCGTTGATGGGTTGGTACTTGGGAACCTTGCATTAATCCATAAGGAGGCTATGTTTTAAGGGAAGTAGTTGCATCGTAGGCATAAAATCAATGAAAATGTCAAAATATGTAACTTCAAGCTAAGGATAAGAAAGCAAGGCAAATTTTCATTAAGCCTTAGAGGCTTTGCATCGAGGAAAGAAATCATATATGTACAATCAATGAAAATGTCAAAATATGTAGTCTCAAGAAAAGGATAACAGAGCAAGGCAAGGCGCATAAACTAAGTTTTCTGAACTGTGTTTGTCACAAACAAAAACAAGTAGTGAAACTTTTTACTAGTATATCAAACGCATTCGACATGTGACAACTCCAAAGAAGAAAAGAACTAGAAAACTTCAATCAGTAAATTATGCACAGTCTAAAATTGAGATATTCCCCACAGAAGAACTTGCCAAACGCACGTTTAAGACAAATATAATGAAGGTTGCCACTAATTGCTACAACGCTGAGGGAAATATCAATCAGGTTTTATTTTTTATTATTAAAAGCAACAGCCAATGTTTTCTTTTTCTTTCTTTCACTTTGTTAGAGTTCTCACGCAAATTAACAATAACATTAATATAATGTATACAAGTGAAAAATAATCCTTATTTTTGGTTGGAAAATAATCCTTCTTAAGACACTTCATTCCCAACTCTTGATATTTTATTGGATAACTAAACTACGGCTTAAACAACCAATTCGTCTTTGGTAACTATTGATTTACAGCGGCCATTATGAATGCTAGAGATTCATTTGCCCAAACTTATTCTCCTAACCAGCACCAATTCTCAAAATCCCAAATCCTATCTTCCATTTCATTCCTAGGACTAGAACCGTCAAAGACCGAGCAAAAGTTACATTTCAACAAAATCAATCTAGGGCAAATGACTGAACTAGCTCCAAAACAGTAAGCCTCAAATGGTTATTGCTATCATACACAAAAGATGCACATCTTTGAATTGAATACTGCACGAATAGGAAAGTGAAACACAAAGTTTAACAAGTTTTAAATCAAGAATCATCAGACATTCTTAACATATTTTCCGTATGTCCCTTTTCCATTCCACCATCATAGTCCAAGATCCAACACCAGCAAATAACACAAAAACTTAAACAATCTCCTGAGAGAGTAAACATACTCGAAAGTTCTAATCAATTGAGATCTACTCATAGAACAGCTGATAGCTTCACTGTCATCAAACACTGGCATTGCAGACAGAGACTAGTTTCATTTAAAATGTCGAAAATGCATCAAGACTCAGCAGCTACATTGTGACGCATCAGAAAAACTTACATTAAAGAATATATTAAAAAAAATTACAATTTTAAGTAATTGTAAGGCAGATCAAACAAAGGGTACCCCAGACACTAAGAGTTACATTTCAAATCTGAAACCAAAACCATAGATAGAACAAAAAAAAAGACTTATTTTTTTTAACTTACTTTGAGTATTAGCAGTGGCAGCATAAACGAAGGAAAGAGTGAGCAAAAGATACCACAGGGTCATGGTTTTTGCCATTGTTGCTTCAGAACACATAGAAGTTCAAGACAGATCTGTGTTATGTCTGCCTCAAACTTTTGCCTTCTGGTTCAAACTTCCAAATAAACTGCAAGAAATTCCACCAAACGAGTGGCCCTATCCAACTTTTTTTTTCTTCCCTTTAATGGTACCTTCTCAGTTCTCAACGATTCTGGAAATTTTATATGATTAAAGCAAATAAATTTCCATTAAAAAAATAAATTGAAGTTGGTATTGCCAATCAAATTAGCTCATTTTCTGTCGGTGAGGTTACATTTAGTTGTTCAAAATCGAAAATAAGGATGAGAGTCTTGAGGAAATTATTAGCATACGCTATTGTTTAAAATATGTTAAATAATGCAAAGTATCATAGCTGTCTTTTTTATTCCTTTTTTTTTTGGCAAGTTATGATGAGTCGATGATTTTAGTTGTAATTGCAATTCAGTGAACGCAATTTCATTTTTTTTTGGTATATTGTTGGGGAATAACTTTCAATCTTTCTATTATATTTTCTTACTAATCTTCCTACATTCTTTACATAGTAATTAAATGACTACATTGTGTTTTTATAACATATTAAATATATTTAATATTTAATAATTTTTTTAGAAAATTTGCAAGAAGATATATCATTAGACATGGTTGAAAGATGAGTATTTTCTTCGATTTTATAAAAATTGCATACGATACTAGATCTTAAATTTGATTTACTTGTAATAAAAATTTAACAGCTGCAAGTCATTTTAATGGTTTGTTTGTAAGTATTTTACTAAAGGTGTCCATGTTCATTTGTTTTAAAATCAAAAGAATTTATTTTGCAACTTACCGGAAAAAAAATAAAGTCTTAATTCACATTCACAATGTAAGTAAAAAGTTTATAAATAAAAATAATTATAAATTAATTTTATGAATTAATTTAAGTTCAAATTTATTATTCTAAAATGATATTAAAATTATTATGAATTTATTATAAAAAGATGGTCATATACTATTAATATACTTATCAAGTTTAATGCGAGAATATATCAAAGAAATTTAAAATTTTATTTATCTTATATCATTTAAATATGTTAGCTACCATTTATATTAAATCTAATAGTACTAAATGTGGATGAGTGTATTTTTTTATGTGCTTCAATATATCTATATTTACATACATGGATAATATAGTGTAGTTTAAAATAATATAAATTTTAAATTTAATTATATATAACAATCAAATAATAAAAACAAATCATAATTATTAAATATAAACCGCTTCTTGCTATATAAACAAAAAAGTTAATATTTATCATGTCTCATAACAGAAATGAAAATCGTTCCATAAAATTCACATGTTATTTTCAATAACAACAATAATCATCTTTATTTCGTCATCTTAAGAAACTCCAAAACGTAGATTATGTTGTTTTAGATTCTTTGCTTTTCAAAAGTCTTCCCATCCATATGTTAAGTAAAATTTTGTTTGTTTAATCTTACATGATATTTAATCTTATCTTTATCGTTCAAAGAATATGTTATGCTTACTTTTTTTTTTTAAGCAAATGTTATGCTTACTTGAGAGTGCAAACACACAAATTTAATCTTATCTTTATCGTTCAAAGAATATGTTATGCTTACTTTTTTTTTTTAAGCAAATGTTATGCTTACTTGAGAGTGCAAACACACAAATTCAGCCTTCAAATACTTGCAAAATAATAATAATAATCAATTTTTTTAGAATGAAAATGAAAATTATATCACAATATTATCAAAAAAAAAAAAAAAAAAAAAAAACAGAGCAATTTCATTCATAAAAAGTTAATTTTTTTCTATATTTCATAAAAAAAATGGCAGGATAACATTATCTATTTTTTATATTATTTTTACATGTACGGATGTACCTATAGTATATAAAATCTATACTATATATACATCAACATTATATATATATATATATATATATATATATA